GGAGACGTAAAGCATTAATGAAAGTTAAAATGTTTCAGAGAACAACTTTCAGCTGTTCAACTTTATAATAATTATAAATAAACCTGTTAAATTTTTCTGGACAATGCCAGCATTTGGATTTTTTTAAAACAAGTAAATTTCTTATTGACGGCAAAAAATAAATAAATAAATAAATAAATAACCAGGTGGGTAGCACACACCTGTAGTCCCAGCCACTCAGGAGGCCAAGGCAGGAGGATCACTAGCTTGAGCCCAGAAGTGTGAGGTTGCGGTGAGCTGGGATTGAACTACTGCACTCCAGCCTGGATGACAGAGTAAGACCCTGTCTCTATACAAAAAAAAAAAAAAAAAAAAAATTGGGTTGTAAACATTCATCATGTGTTCTGTATTCAGGCCTCTCCTCTTACCAGCTGTATGATTTATAAGTATATCCTCCCATTTTGTGGTTTGTCCTTTCACTTTCTTGATGGTATTGTGTACAACACTTCTTAAAAAGTTTTGATGAAGTCCAATGTGTCCATTTGTTTTCTTTTTCACTTATGCTTCCGGTGTCATATGTAAGAATGTATTGCCTAAAGATACAACAATTAATCTATGATCTATTTCAAGTTCATTTTTGTGTACAATATGAGACGGGAAGTTTTTTTGCCTGTAAGTAGCCAGCTGTACCAGCACATTTGTTGAAAGACTATTATTTTTCACATTGAATGTTTTGGCACCCTTACCAAAAATCAATTGACCAAAATGAATAGGTTTATGTCTGCACTCTCAATTCTATTCCGCTGATTTATGTGTATCCTTATGCCAGTACCACCACTGTCTTGAGTACTATAGCTTTGTAGTAAGCTTTGCAATCAGAAGTGTGAGTTCTTAAACTTTGCTATTCTTTTTCAAGATTGTTTGGAATATTTTGAGTCCCTTCTATTTCCATGGTAATATTAGGATTCACTTGTCAATTTTGCAAAGAAATCGGCTAGAATTTTGATGAAGGATTGTATTGATTGTATAAAATAATTTATGGAATATTACCATCTTAAGAATATTGTCATCGAATACATTAATATTTTATATTTTCCATTACTGAGTTATTTAATTTCTTTCAATTATGTGTTTCAGTTCTCAGAGTGGAAGTCTTGTACTCCTTTTGTTAAATGTATTCCTATCTTATTCTTTTTGATGCTATTATAAATAGAATCATTTTCTTAATTTTAACTACAGATCATCCATTACACATGTATATAAAGAAAACTGATTTTTGTATGTTGACTTAGCATTCTGCAAATTTGCTGACTCATCTATTAGTCCTAATAGCTTTACTTTTAGTGTCTTTCTTGGGGATTTTTGCATAAAATATCATGTCATCTGCAACTGGGGACCATTTTAATTCTTTCTTTCTAATCTGGCTACCTTTTATCTCTTTTCTTGCCTAATTGCCCTGGCTGGAACCACCAGCACATTGTTGACTAAAATGGAATAGTATTTTAAAATCAAGATATTACACACACACACACACACACACACACACACAAATAGCCTGAGTATTTTATTTTGAAAAACCAGGAGATCTGGAAAATACTGAGCTTAACATGAGCTGGGCAGTGGTTGCCCCATATAGGTGGGACATGTGCTCGCCACATGACCATTTCCCTACTATTCTCTATAGTATAATACTTGGCCAGCTTCATTAACCTTTTCACTAATTCTGTAGACATTGGAGTTTAATAATTTTTCATTATAGAGATTAATAATGGTGCCATATTCATATTAAACATTTTGCATATATTCCTAAGCAACAGAATCCTACTGTAATTCCGTATTTCTCATTCTCCCATTCATCTCTTATCAGATTCATAGGTTAGTACCAGTCTGTTATGATCATTTTCATTAATATCTTTTTGGTTTGTATTTATTAGCAAACTTAGTGAAACAATATCTCCTTTTTAATATATTTCCTTTTATTTCCAAATTGATACAGCAGAATGAAGTGGATTTTGATTGAAACAATCTTCCTGGGAAAGAACACTGGAATGCTCATCTATCAAAAAACAAACTCCAATATCTGAGTTCCATCTTCCCCTAGACAAAGTTAAAAACAGATTAAAGGGGAGAGGAAGGGTACAATCAGAACAGGGGTGGTGGAGGCTGGCAGATTTTCATTAAAGTACAATGTTCAAAGTTGCTGCAATTACAGAATAGAATAGCATTTAATTTTAAAGCAATCACAAGCAGGAGTTTCCCTTCCAGCCCTCACCCTGATTTGCATTCATAAAAAGACATTTTTCCCTCCCCGGAGTAAGTGATGTATCAGGACTGGATACCAATCTATTTTACCACAGGGGAGGGGACTCTTTTGATTTATTCAGGTTTCTGGGACCAGAATCAAGATTCTAGAGAAAGGGAAAAATCTCTACGGTTTTAGGGGATGTTTGTTCTTATGCTAACTCATTACCTGCTGAAATTCATTTTAAACACCTTTATATAACCGTGGGTTAAGTAAAATTCGCACAGAAATGTTACAGGTGGCCTCCCAACCCCCACTGGAGGAAATAGTGAGTCAAGACTTAAACACTCTCAACACACACACAAAACCTTTGATCTTGGTGGGAATGACCGACGTCACCTGGCTAGGAGGGTAAAGTGGTGAGAAGCACAAGCAGAACTAATTGCAGGAAAAGGACTGAGGCAAGGCAGGCCAGGGCACACACTGTGGAAACTTTCCTCCAGCCTAGGCAACAAAAATGAACTCTGTCTCAAAGAAAAAAAAAAAAAATCACCAAAGTGTGAAAGTTAATTTATGAGCAGAAAAAGACCAAGGCTTGGGCAATTAAAACAATCCAGTCTCCTTTTCTTTTTTAATTTGTTTAATGTATTTTTAAGGTAATTTTCTTTTCTTTTGGAAGAAGAAATCTTTTTTGCCACCTAATCTAAGCAAGTGGAGTTGCCATTATCCAATTTATCTCTATTGTTTTGCTAAGAGGTGAAAAAACAGAAGTAAAAATGGACTCCTAATAGGGAGTCCATTAGCGGATGGGGAGGAGCTGGGGTCATCTAGTGGAATGTCCTAACTACTAAGACAGTCTGAGTGAAGCTAAGGGACCAGACCCTTGAGCATCTTGGGGCAAATCCTGCTGTACCTCTTCTCCTTCTATGGTCACTGTCCCCTTAGACTGAGAAGAGAGTACAATGTCGTTAGAGCATCTCAAAGAAACCCAATGGACGGGATCTCAGCACAGGCTTCCCCAGGCTTTCTGACTTTGGGCCTGAGTGGTGGATTCCAGGTGAAGTCCCAGATTTCACCTGTTGCCAGCTCCCTCGGGGAGATGAAAAGAGGCCGCTCCTTTCCTCACCATCTGGTCCTCCACAGTTATGGCTGGTGAGAGAGGAACAAGCTGTGGGAAACGGGGTGAAAAATTGGACACCACAATAAAGAAGGCAGAAGGTGCTCCTACTCTCCAGCCCTCCCAACCCAACTGGTAAGAGTAGGGAATCCTGTCAGGACTGCCTAGAATCTAAGGACAACCTTCTGCGGCACAGGCATTAACTCTCTTCTGCTGGATTCACACCCTTATGCACCAGTCCCTGCCCTTGATTCCAATGTTATTATAAGGACTGAGGTGATTAATTAATACTCATAGCAACTATCAGTTGTGATTACTCAAAACTCAGGCCCTTGACAAGCTTTCTCCTATCATTTTTTTAAATCATTTAGTTTTGTCTTATCAGTTTGGGTTCAACAGAAATGGTACCATCAGACCATGCACAGAGCCTCCTAATCCAAATTGGGGAATCTCACGCTCACCCTGTAAGTCCACCTTCAGCCATGAGGACCCTCCCGTCTTGTTCCCCAACAGAGAAGCCTTATATAGTCAAAGGAAAGCATCTGATGTTTTTCTAAGTCTAAATACAAGAGAAATGTTCTGTATCTAAATCTTTGAGACATTTGGAGAGGAAATAGATTTATGTCCCCTGGCTTTGATGAAGATTTTTCTTCAATTTTCCTGCAATTACTGGGTCCAGCTTTTCTGTTTTCCTTCTACCAGTTTTCAACAAACAGGAAAAAATAGTTCTGTGGTTTGAATGCCAAAGCCACTAAGATCTCCCCATAAACACTTCAGGGGAAGAAAGGAGGCGATCCTCCAACCCTGGATAAACGGTAAGAAGAAAGAGTTGACTGGAGCATCAGTTTCTCTAGTGCACCAAGAAGGTTCACATGGTCCCTCTGGAGCTCTGTGAAGTAAATTCAGAGCACTGCTGGTTCCCAGTTTGGCAGATGGTATGTCCGGAGGGGGGAGAAGGAGAGGACAACCTTAGATCTATGGAATGCCTCTCCTCACTGGACAGTATCATTTTTATCTGAGTAGAATCTTGCTGGTGAAACTACAAATGAATACTGTTTTCTTAAATAAGCTACCATGGCAATCCTCACATTGTCTTTACTATCCACTTATCCACACACATGTTTAGAATTATCGTTTCATTCTGCAGGGATAGGACAAATTGTTCACTATAGATTAGATACTTAAAACACATTTGTTTTACCTGAGTCACATCTTTATGGCAACTTTCCCAAGATCGAATCTGCACGAATCCATGACTGGCATTTATCACAGTTATTAAGGATAATGAAATCCAAACCAATATGAGTTCATCTACTATACCAGCCTCAAGGGCTCGGTTTCATATCTGAAGTTCCACATTGTGAATCCTGCTTTTAGCTGAGACGCAGTTACTGTCAGTTAGAAATTCAGGTTCAAAGAAGTCAGTTTAGTCTATTTCAAAGCCATTTCAAGTTCATTTGGTCAGTTTCTCCTTCATTTAAAATAAATTTCGCCAAAAACATTTAACTTTAAATCTTTAAAGATTTTCCTTTCAAGAAATAAAATTATCAGTGCTATATT